CAACTTAATGTTTCTTTTTGCAATAACTCAGTGCAATATATATGTATATATATATATATGCTTTACCCTGTATATAGCTAGCTCTTAGTTGTAGAAAACATTTTTATTGTGTAGGAAAAAGGTCTTACCTCACACGTCACACTGGTGGCCAAGTAATCGACATTTCGTTGTCAAGATTCACCTTGTTTTTTTTTTTGCAATTACGATAAAGGAAGTCTAAGTCTAAGTCTAAGTCTAAGTCTAAGTTTCCTCCTGTCTCCTCTGATTCTGACTGGGGGTTTTGCTCCAGAAAACTGATTGTCAGATTATTGATAACTGTATCGTTATGTCCACTTTGTAAGTCTCTTTGGATAAAAGCGTCTAAATGTAGAAACATGGACATAAAAGTCAAACGCAAAGCACACCCAAACAAAACCAAAAACCAATAGGACGAACACATCTGGAAAAGACCACCATTGTATCCAGAACTGACATCTTAATGTCTAAACACGAACTTTTTCTAACAAGGGGAACATTTTTACAGCAAAGGACCTCAGTATCTGCAGATTTTGGGTAAATCCCAACTGGCTGAATGGACACTAAAAGCTAAAAACAAGAATAAAATGAGGCCAGTTGGGCTTCGTCCTGTGGACGAACACAGCTGGAAAAGACCACCATTGTATCCAGAACTGACAGCTTAATGTCTAAACAAGGGAAAGTTTTTACACCAAAGGACCTCAGTATCTGCAGATTTTTTGTAGATTTTTTGTAGATTTTTTGTAGATTTTTTGTAGATTTTTTGTAGATTTTTTGTAGATTTTTTGTAGATTTTTTGTAGATTTTTTGTAGATTTTTTGTAAATCCCAACTGGCTGAATGGACACTAAAAGCTAAAAAAAAGAACAAAATGAGCCCAGTTGGGGTTGCATCCTTTCCAATCGAACTAAACACAGAACACAGGTATTGTTATCACGCTTCTATCTAAAGAAACAATGATCAGAGTGATCTAGAGTGCGTTTTCTAAGTGGGATTGATGAAGCTCAGCCGAATAGGACTCCGTTAAACGCTTTGCCACTCACCTGCCGTCATCCCTGGTTTGTGAAAAACCGGCAACGCTCTGACGGGCGTCTCTGCCCGGGCCAGTTTTATCACCCGGCAGGCCAAACCCGTCTTCAGCCTGAAGGCTGCCGGCCAATCAGAGCGGCCCAGGGAGACACCGGTGATGACACAGCTCTCATTCTGTCACATAATTCAGAGTTTGGCTCTGATTCAGGAGCTGTGAGTAACCGAGAAAGAGCACTATCAAACCTACAGGGCCCTCCTAGAAGGCCTTCGGAGCTCCAAACATTAGCTTCTGTGTTTAGGGTTAACGTCCTAATTCAGACTTAATACTGTCTCTCAGTTAGAAAGAAAAAAAAAAATCCCAATGTCTCAAACGTCATAATTATGACTTATTTACTGTATCTTAAAATATCTGCTTTTGATCATAACTCACAATCACAGGCAGAGTTTTGTAACACCAAATATCGTGGGATCCATCTAAAATAATTAAGGATTTAAGTAAGACTCTCAAAGTTTCACAATTTAGGTTATTTATTTGACTTTTCCCCCAAATAATAAGAACCCACAGTGACACAGTTGTAGAAACCTATTTAAACTAAAATACATTCATTAAAAATGACCAAAAGAACTTATATAAATCACAGATCTTTGGCATTTTGTGGTGGTACCTGATTTATTTATCTATTTATTTTAAATGTGATAAACGGGGTTTGGTAATAATATAATTTTTCTACAGGGAAAAGTGGGTCTGGGATAATTTAAAAGCAAAGAACAAGGCAACACCCTTGTCGCACGCAAACGTTAACGCCGATCGTGATGAGCAAATGATTCATAATCCCCAATTATCAGTACAGTACACCAGACAGTTTCACTACCAGCAACCCTCTTTTTTTGTCTCTGGAGTAAGGAGTGGCTCCCGGCCAACAGACAGTTTCTTTTTAGGATGAGCTAGCATGAGTTAAAAAATCAGAAGTTGTAACCTGAGCCACAAACTATCAGCCCATGTTTCATCACTGGTAAAAAAAAAAAAGATACAAGGACAATACCAGCAAAGATTTTGGCATACAACGTTTAATTTTGGCCTGATTTTTACTCCTCTCTGTATGGAGAACTTTATATATTTACAAAATAATTCATGCTAAAGCAGTAAAAAAAGGAAAATCAAGCTTATCTTTCCAAATCAAGCCACTTAGTTCCTTTACTGGGATTAAGGGCGGGAAAAAATGGAATTTAAGGAATGTAAACATGTGTTTGGAGGAATCTGTTCTTGTTGAGAAGCCTTTTAAAAATAAAGGTGATACAAACTGTTCAGGGAGGAGGTGGGGTTAATGTTTTTTTTTTTTAATGACAGCTCATTAAACCGTCACATCTCTCATCCTGTGGCTTATTAGAGTAATTCCGGTCTATTTTTACGGCCTGACGAGAACAAAGAGGCCGGCTAAAAGCCAAAAGAGCTCTGTTGTGTGTTGTTTTTAGATTTTTCTAATGAGATTCCTGCTTTGAAAACAGATTTTTTTAAACATTTCCGGGTGCCAGACAGACTTCTGATGGTATTTCTGGTCTTTTTTTTACCCTCTGGAGCAGCTGACTGAGCTTTCCAAAGCCCCAGGAAAGCCTGGAGTCCAAAAAGAGACATCCAGGACACAAAGAAGACTAAAAATTGAGAAAAATGAAAAGTAAGTTCACATTTTTTCTTCCCTTCGTATATAAAGCAAAGTGTTGGATCCCTTATAACAGGGGCGTCAAATCCAAAAACAAAGCGGGCCAAAATTTAAAACCTGAACAAAGCCACAGTTCAAGATTGAACAAATGAACCTTTTGATATGGAACAAAACTAATTTTGCTTTAAAATTGAATTTGGAACAAGCAACTCTTATTACATAATATATAATTTAATAGTGGAGACATGCAAAATTTCAAATAAAAAAACACATCAATGGCATTCATTTAAGAAATAAAAATTTTAAAACTTTTTTTCTTTTCACAGCCTTCTGAATTAAATATCTAAATAAAATGTGCTTTTCCAGAAAGCTCCTGTTTTCTGCCTTTCTTTTCGTCGTTTTTGGGAAGGGGCAGCACAGTGACAGCTGTAGTGTACACCGACTGTCACAGAGGAGTTATTGGGTCCTGGTTGATGCCCCTAAACAACAGCAGGGCATTATGGGATTTGTAGTATGAGCGGTTAATGCGCTGTACAGTATAATACTGGGGACCAGCTTTCGTAAGTCATTTGGTATTGTCTCGCGGGCCAAATATAATTACCAGAGTTTGACACCCCTGCCTTATAACAACAAAATATGAATATCTGGGTGTAAATATTTGTCACATAAATACAGAAACCACTACAGAAGGATGGTAACAAGCATTTATTTAAAACAGAATACTTAGCCAGCGCATTTTTAATTACATTCAATACTGAAAAAAGCCTTCTTTCATCAAACTAGACGACAAGTTTGTATCAGTGCAACAAAAAAAAACAAGATTTTCTGATATCTCAGCCAGGGATTCACACATCTTGTTAAAGAGGAACAGGAATCTAAGGTTTGACGGTGACAGAGCAGCTCTCTTTCATGTCTCTGAAGGAGGAGCAGTCAAAGTCGATCAGGAGGCTCCTCTCGCCGCTCTTGTAGGGAACAAAGAAGAACTTGACACGAACCCTCACGTTCGGCCGCAGATCGGGAAGTCTGAGAGACAGAAAATCACACGGTGTGTTCACTTTTATGGTTAGTTCCTGTTATGATCATCGTGTTACTACAATGTTTAGTTTTCCCGGATTTGAATCGGGATGATCACGGAATCAGTTCTGTTAAAAATGTCAGATTTTTTCATTAATTAAACAGGTTTTCATTTGGACCGTTGTGGCCAATTAACTGCTAAAACCTCACAAACGTTTCCATAATAAAAAGAAAAACAGCAGGACGGTTGCTTTAAGGCCCGTACGGCTGAAGGAAACACCTGGACTTACCTAAACGTGGTCTCTTTTTTAAAAAGCCCACTTCCAGAAACAGTGAGACAGCAGTCCGTCAGAGTCCCATCGATCGGATTCATGAAAACCACCTCGGCACTGGTCTCGGTTCCCACTCTGCAGGGACTGGACACCTGCAGACCCAACAGGAAAAATCTGTTTTATACAGGTAAATTAAGCCTTCAAAGGAAATATTTAAACATTTTCAAATGAGTTTGTGATGTTTCTTGAAGAGAAAAACAAGAAAACTGACTTCTCTATGTCCCAATCAAATGCACAGATTTGTTTTTCTTTCCTTTATGCTAAAAAAAAATCAAAATGACTCCATCCTGTAACATGATATTCCATTCCGACATGTATTTAGGACCCACATGATGTCCAGCATGAGCCAAAAGTCAAAGGTCACCATGTTATTTGAGCAACTAAAGGGAAAATTACATATCTAAATCACCCAGCAGGCACTGGGTGTGGGGGCTTATCGTTCAGCCTGTGGCCGCCATCTTGAAAGCTGCCATTTTGGATCAAGAGCACGTCTTTATAAAAGGGAAGAAGGTCTCGTTTTTTCTTTCAATTCAATTAAATTCAATTCAATTTTATTTATATAGCGCCACATCACAACAACAGTTGTCTCACAGCGCTTTCCAAACAGAGCAGGTCAGACCCTACTCTGAAGTTAATTAGAGAAACCCAACAATTCCCACCATGAGCAAGCACTAGGCGACACAGGCAAGGAAAAACTTCCTTCTTCATCTGTTTGACTGGACCTGTCAAATCTATCTATCGCAGGCAACGTTACCAGTCGCAGTTGCAACTTTGCCTGTTCTCTTTGAACCATAGTAGACTTTTGCAAATCTGATCTTGGCAAACAATCAACAATCAAACGATCAGGATGCCTGTTCTCTTTGAACCATAGAAGACTTTTGCTAATCTGATCTTGGCAAATTTTTGATTTCGGAGTGGATTCTGATTTGGATTGTGGCGGGTGTTTTGAGCTGGGTGTTTTTTGCACTGACTTTGATCGAGATGGGCGGGTTCTCCAACGCCACGCAGTGCACGGCCATGAACACACCATCGGGGGCGCCTTTTTCCGTGACCACGGCCGAGAAGTTCATGCTTCCGTTGGGCACCATGAGGTCCCGGTAGGAGGAGTAGGGGACCACGACGGGGATGGACAGATCTGGGGGGAGGAAAGAGAAACACAGGAGGGTCTCAAGAGGTGGACGGCGATTAAACCCTCCCCTAAAACATCCGAGGCATCTGTAAGCGCCATATGCCCATTTATGTACATTTATGTATATTTATGTGTATTTTGAATTTACTTGTTTATGTGAATTTGATATGCAATTTAAATTAATGAGTGACATTAACTCATTGGCTGCCAAAGACGACTATAGACATATTTTATGTTTTTCAACGCGAGTGACTTGGGGGACGATCTGCTAAAGCTTGTCCGTAAATATCAGGCTTCTAGACAGAGTATGTAGTAACAAATTGACCCTCTAGGTGGCAGTGCCACTTTTGATGGGAGATGAGCATAGACTGTAGGCAAATAAGAAAAACGCAATGGTTCGCTATGCGAGAAATGTCGCCGGTGAGAAGGAAGAACGGAATAAGGTAGAAATAATTTTTTTTTCCTGATGAAAGAAGAGAGTCTACTCTTTCTTTTGGTGTGTTTGGTGTTTACATAGTCATAGCACAAACTATTCTGTGGCTCTTGAAATATCAGTCAAAATGCTCAAAAAACTCTGGCAGTATGGGACTCTCTGTTCTGAAAATGGCTGGCAGTCAATGAGTTAATAATTTAAGTTAAAAATATTTACAAGTTAAAAATGTGAATTTCAAATATTTACGTTACTTAATGCGCCTTTAATGACGTGGTAATTATGCGCCAGGTGCCCAGTAAGGTTGCCTTTGTGAAATTAACACAAAGGCAGGAGGAAGGTTGGTGCCTCACGGTTTTTCTGACCGTGTTATGCTCGTGTCATGCACGTGACGTGCTCGTTTTGTAACTTATGATTTAGATTCGTGAGAGTTTAGGAAGTATTTATTTTATTTGTGTTTGTTTTTTTTGTTATCGCCTTTGTTTTAAAATAAAATTGCAAAAAACGTGACGTCAGTGGAAACTATTCTTGGATCCTGGAACACGCGTCAGCCACAAAGCTCCAACCTATAACGGATTTTTATCAAGACTTTCGAAAATACCCTACAGCAGGGGTCGGGAACCTTTTTGACTAAGAGAGCCATGAAAGCTAAAAATTTGGAAATTTATTTCAGTGAGAGCCATATAATACATTTTAAAAGTGAATTCAACTAAATGTCAGTATAATGAGCCTCTGAATTTATTCTTTTGAATAATGTTGTTATAATACTCGTGTCAAAGTGCCGCTTTACATTCGACCGTTTCATCGATGCAATTTTGTCATTGCAAATTAGACACACCGCAGAATTTGCTCTCTCCACAAAGTCGAATTCTTCAGTCCATTCGTCCTGAAATGTACGATACTTGTCATCTTTTTTTCTTTTCGCCGTCTTCTTCGTCGAAAGGTTAGCTTTGAGCTAATGAGCGAGCGGACTGATTCAAAAGGGGGCGTTTGCCTGTTTTACGCTGCAACGGCCAACGAAGTCCAGTATCATCCAATTAAAATAATGGACGGGACATGAGCAGTGAAAAATCGATGGATGGATATTTGTAGCTTGTATTTGTATACAAGTGAGAATAGTTTGTTTTATCTGCGAGCCAGATGCAATCATCAAAAGAGCCACACCTGGCTCGCGAGCCATAGGTTCCCGACCCCTGCCCTACAGCATGGTTTCCGGAGGTGGGGTTCACCTTTGTGGGGCTCCACCTTCCTCTCTGCCTCCTCCACCTGGATCTTCCCCGCCGGGGTCCCGTTGTAGCGCATGGCCTGGACGCTGAGCGTGAAGGACAGCTCCCTGAGCTGGGGGCTGTCGTTTTTCAGCCACAGCCTCATCTGCACGTCCTCCCCCTTCAGAGGTTTGCTGACCTGCCGACGCCAAAAAACCAGGAGAATGAGATCAAGTCACAGGGGAAATGGCTAATCGGACATTTTGGGGGAAAGGGGTGCTAAACGAATGAGGTCAAAATGGCGGTTTGGCTGGAAAAGAAGGCGGAGATGAGCAAGAAAATGGACATTTCCAGAGATCCATTTGGGGAAAGTTTGAACTGATGAAGCCCTAGGATTGAGATGTTTGTGTTTTCCACTCTGTGATCTTTTCTGAACATCTAATATCAACATAAGGCAGATTACCTTTCGGCCACAACGTTTAGAGCAAAGCCTCCTGATTGTTTTCCGCCTTCCGGCCTGCATGGCAGCTCTTAACAGAGATACCGGAGCCAGAAATCTCAACATCTCAATGTTTACAATGTGCCTTGAAGAGCTATTTCTGTTTAAAGCACCGCGTCATACTGTGAACTGAAAAGGAAACGCTAATAAACACTGTTCGATCAGAGAACGACGACCGAATGATGAGGAAAAAAAAACACATTTACAGATATTTTTTTAGAATATAGATTAGGGAGTACGATGAAAGCTTTGCTTTTGCATGTGTAAAAACAGCACGGATATTTTTTAGGGGGGAAAGGCCTCGTTACATCTCACATGACCTTTAAGTCACAAAGTTCTCAGGCTGTAAACAGGAAAAAAAATGCAATAAAATAGATCTTACTAATAAAATTGAGTTTTTGACATGTCTTGCTATAATTTCTGGAAAAGTTTGTCATAAAAACAAACATTTTTCCGCCTTTCTTTTGGTCTTGTTTGCACGGTTATCCTTTCCTTTGAATATATGACGCGAAAAAGGCCCTCAAGGGCCTCAAAGTCCAGACGTTCCACGCTGTTAAGGCCTTAAACTAAACGGGTATTAAAGCAAGAGGACCTCACCTCTTCAAACGCCAGCAGCAGCTGTGGGGTTGGAGCCTCTGGGCTCTCACTGCTGTTGGCCACCGGCACCCCGACCCGGTTCCGCTCCATCCGTGGTGCGTTCATGGCCGCGGGGCCGTTTATCTCCACGGCCTCAGCGTTGCCCCTCACCCTCCATCCGCCCTCGACTCCAATAAGGGCGTATTGGAAGACCATCCTCTCCAGAACGGTCCCTGAACATCACAAACACAGATTTGATTCCATTCTGTTAATTTATTCATTAAACACCTTTCATCCAGAAAGTAATAGAAGGTGCTTTACATAGAAACGCAGCTAAAAGCACATAAAAACACAGGTTTTTATTTACCCCACACACAATGTGGCCCCCATCCCACTGCCAACCTAGAATCCGGTCTAAACTCGAGTTCCCGCAACCAAAAATACATCAAGAGTGATATTAAAACTGCTGG